TTTTTTTAATGTTTGCATCTTCCCCGGAGGTGGATGACTTTCTGTATTACTTAAATAAACCAATAAATCGATTTCTTCCCATTGCAGCAGTGCCCAAGAAGCTGCCATGTACTTATCACCCTCTCTGATGCTCGTGATTTTCCTTGGCCTCCTGCCGCATCATGGATTGGGAGGGCAACCAGTGACTACAACCGATCCAAGAAACCATATTGAAAATTCCATCTCGGATTCCAGCCTCGCTTCTCTCCGCACTTTGCTCACTTCCATCTCTTCTAATTCCACCCAGCTGCCTGAAAAGGTTTCTTGCAGCGACTTAATGCCAGATACCTTTGAACATTTTGACAGCGTGCCTCGACCAGCCCAGATTATGATTCAAGCTATCCTCGTGCTTGCCTTGCAAAATGCAGGCTGCAGCCACCATGCCGAAATGCTTGGGCTAGGGCTGTACCAGCAACTGGGGCAGAAAGATGCTAGTGGTCTCTTGTTGACAATGATAAAGATCCTGGACACAGCTAAACCTACAGCTAAACCTACAAGCTTTGCTGCCCTACAGTTCAATTTGGACCAGTTAGCCCAGAAAGAAGCCTCACATTGCCAAGGCCTGATACAAGTCAATAGAGCTCTCCTGCATGGCAAGGTGTACCGTGAATATAAGTGGTTTCCAACAGCTGCTGCAGCCTGTCACCATTTGGGGAATGTTTGTGGAGGAGTTATCACCAATGGCAGCAGTCCCTTCCAAGTGGTGCTTAGAAATGGCAGCTACTTCTGGCCAGAGCAAGGTTCTCATTCCTGGCTTCATCAGTGCCCAATGCAGGCACGCATGCGACGTTCATCACCAGAACACTGTGTAAATGTGATAGAACAAAAGGTTCACAAACTTTTGGGGTTCATACCTGGAGTCAGCACTCTATATAACTTCGCAACCAGCATATACTACTATACTCAAGACTGCATTGACTTGGCCAAGAAGCGTGCTCAAGATGGGGCCATAGACCTGGGTTTTGATACCTTGGTTGCTCTCTCTGGGGGGGTTGGTACTCCCTTTAGGATGGGGGTTGCTATGGCACTGAAACAAGTGTTCAGAAAAGGTGTAGAGGCTGTAATTTTAGATTTTCAAAAGGAAGAGGAGCCACCGTGTCCGGTCCCCACCAACGTCTGTGCTGCAAACATCAAAACCTAATCCAGGCTTTCTCAGACTTGGCACTGCTACAATCACCTCAAATAATAAATGAGTATGTACAACCCATCCAATAAAATTTCCAATTTGATTCTGTTGGAGTTAAGTCTGAGCAAGAAATAAATGTATCACTTAAATGATTAAATTTTAATCTATATAATGATTACCATGATTCTTGAATTTGATACGTTCAGGCAATTAACCGAGAACCAGAACAGGGTCCAAAGATTGATATCTGACAGCTCTAAATCCAAAGATTGATATCTGACAGCTCTAAAGCTTTACAGTTTTTTTAAAAAGAAAACCCTGATACTTTTCATTTACATTTTTTCCCCAGCCCTCAGCCCCCCACCACAAAGTGGAAATGTCACAACCCAAAGTTTGAGAACTCTTGATTGAAGCTATTAAAAATTATATCAGTATTTTTAAAATACGTGCTGGCGGTTTAAGTGACAGAAAATGGCGGATGCTTTGCTCTTTTCTTTTTCCACATCAGCGGCTTTTAGATGCCCAGTTTCATAGGATGATTTTTTTTACAAAACATTGTGTCAGAGACAGCTGGGCATAGAGGGTTTACTTTTTGTAGTTGGATGGTCCAGAGAATCCTCAGAGGGACATGTAATGAACACCCAAGCAGAATTTTGTAGAACTGAATATTCTTTGTCCTACTCTTATTGTCATCTCTGATCTGCTGGTTCCTTCTTGTATCCATGTCTTCTTTTTGTTGTTGTTGTTAGTCGCAAAGTCGTGTCTGACCCATAGTGACCCCATGGACAACGTTCCTCCAGGTCTTCCATGTCTACTTTGCTAAGTTGCTTTTTCTCCCCTCATTTTATCTATCAGTTGTATTTACAATAATCATAAATGAAGGTTTATTGATTATGTAATGTAACATTACACAATAAAGCTGCTTCGAACTGACAGGTACTATGTACAATCTATTAGCTTCTCTGGTGTTTGTCCAAAACTGTTTGCACCCTGTGATAATTCTGTGAATTGTCAGAATTCTGTTGTCCTGTGTTAGTTATGGCTGGAAAAGGACAGCACCACGGAGTTAGCCTGCATTCTGTCATTGGCACTGCAGCTAAGAAACTTTTTCTTATTCACCCCATCCCATGCCCTATCCCATGCTTCTTTTTCTGTGGAGCGAAGCTAACTCTGAGACCTTTACCCGTCACACGAGTTTTGTCCCATTTGACTACTTTTCTTGCCACATTTGTTAAGCAAATCACTGCAGTTGTTAAATTACTAACACGGTTGTTAAGTGAATCTGGCTTCCCCATT